GCCGGCCTGCGTCTCGTAGCCGAAGTTATCGTGGTCGATCACATCGATCATCGGACACACTATCGTCTTCCGGTTATCCGCGATGCGATCTAAAAACCAATAATTCACTGCTATTAAATAACAGCTTTAGGAGCTGAACAATCAAATCACATCTCCTTTACTTCTACAGCGCTTTATGCACTACAGATTGTTTCAGAGCATCTTCATAATAATAAACGGATAATAATAAGAGTGTTGATGATGTAAAATTCTCTCTCACCCAGTAACGGCGGCAGCCAGTTGACGTTGGCCTCGCAGTGTGAGTCCAGGAACGTGATGACCTGACCCTTCGCAGCCGCGGCACCCAGCAGTCTGGTCCGGATCAGACCCTCACGCTTCTTAGTGCGCAGGATTCGAACCTTCGGCAGCCGCACCATGTACTCCTCCAGAGGAGCCTTCAGATGCTCTAGAAGACACAGAGACACCACCCATCACACACTCCAGCAGCTTACTCCTTACAGACGCAGTTCAGAACCTGCCTTAAATGTTTTGGATGGCTTTTATTCTCTTCCTCTCTCAATGCTGAATCCATCAATGAAAATACTTCAGATGTGATTTGATCATAAAACAAAAGCTGTGATTGAGTTAATCTCTATCATGATTCAAATATGATTTGAATTATTCATCTTATTTCAGTCAGATACAGCACAATATTTTGCTCATTTTGAGGCACTCATTTGACAGTGTTGACCAGAAGAATCCTGAATAGTGGCCTGGATGTCAGTGCTTTGTGATAAATTGTGATTCATGGTGATGTGCTGTGATATATCGTGATGTGTATGTGTCACAGCCAGCCTTAATATAACATTACACATTACACAGAGAGAGGATTATGGCTGGCATAATCTGACGCTTATGCAAACGTGTGACGCAGTTCAGACACGGGGACGAAGGAGGATCATCCGAACAGAAACAGCAGCTCACAATCTGTCATGCCAATCAAACATGCATGACTTACACGAGACGACTTGCTGAAACAAACTGATGGTGACTTCATCATGACATCCAGCCCAGTGTTTCTAATGTTTCTGATGGCAGATGATCCTCGTCCACACGTGCTCTTCAAACATGAGCCCAACAGAACCTGATGAAAAAGAAGGACGCAGTCTCTCCGGCAGCTCGTACCTTTGTCGCTGAAGTCGTCCACGAGGATGATCTCAGCGATGAGCTGCGGCGGCGAGCGGTTGAGGATGCTGTGAACCGTGCGCAGCAGAGACGACCAGCCCTCGTTATGGAACGGGATGATGATGCTGGTGTTGGGAAGATCTTCTGTGTACAGCTTCGTCTTACAGCTGCGACACACAAATGAACCGGCGGTCAGTGTGACGATGATCACATGCACTCGTGATGGCTGTGAGTCTGTTGTGACCGATACAGTTAAAGCTTGATGCTTTGCTTCCCTTTGGAACTATTTTCATTTAGTCTCACACTGAAGTTATGGATATTAACCGCTGCATTAAATCTCTATCACACTGTGATCACATTCAACAGTCAATCAAAAACATCAGCTTCAATCATTCTGACACGGATGAGTGCTGTTAGACTAAAAGTGTTCTTCCTAAACAGATCAGTGCGTAGTGAAGTGGAGCACAGCAGCATCCAGAAAATGAAATATTTTGGATAATTTAGCCATTTGTAAATATCGGGGAATTTTTTACATTTCTGTATACCTAGATGAATATTTTTTTATTATGTGCAATGAGAATCAAAGTTTTATTCTATAAGACAAGTTTTAGAGAGAAAATATTCTAGACTAGAGCATGACTGAAATATAGAGTGACGACAGACATACTTCTCAAGACTTATATTTTTAAGTCTTGAGAATAAGACTTAAGATATCTATATTTTTCAGAAATTCAATATGTAATGTATGTAAAGCAAAGAAACTGCTAGCCTGTTATTGCAGTCATAACGTACTACTGTTGTGCTCTACACATCAAACCCACACTGAAGTTCAGTGTAACTCAAGCAGTGCTGTTCATGTACAGTAATGAATGCAGGAATCATGCCAGACGTGTGCTGCAGAGGTTTATACTGAGGAGGAAGAAGAAAGCACTCACTTCGGGTGTCTGATGTCAGGCAGGGATCTGTTGAGGGCGA